AAGCAAAAATATCTCTTACACTCTTTATATTTTGTCCAGCCGTTGACTTAATCGTCGAAGTGCAAGCGGTCGCTGGACCTTTTTCTTAACCAACGGCCTTTACCTTCTAATGAGATGTTCAATGTGCATGGGATGTCCACATGGACGAGACATGGTTGGGATTCTATTGACGTATTTTTCGAGGTCAACACGAGTTTTGTGCATTATTTATTTAATTAAAATCTAAATGATGATTTTGTTAATTAAGGTTTAATTTATATTTCGATTTGTCTTTTTAATTATCCAACGTGAGCTTAGAGATACAATAATTTTAGGTTTAGTGTAGGGACCATTCATCATTGGGATGTGGTTTTACTAACTATAAACAACAATATGATTCAAGTGAAGCACTGAGTTGACTCGATGGTTCAATGGATCTATGAAAAGAATAGCTTTATTATCATTTTTAAAAAGAACGTGAATTATTTTTAACAAATCGAAAAAAATAATAAATCACTTACTAAAGATATAAAAAAAAAAAAAGCAAAAATAGTCGACGGATTGGGAACGAGAATGGCTGACCCACCGTATTGACATCCCTAATCACCGACAGTTACATGGCCCCTTGTTCTCATTTTCCCCTAGTTTCTACCTGTGTTCCTACATCTGATGGAGAAACCGGTGCATAATTTACATGATATATTAACTTAAAAAATATGTATGATATATATTCAAATATAAATTATCATATAGAGTTTCAACTTGCCAAAACCAAGATTCGTGTATGAAAAATAAGTAAAACGACGACTTATTGACATTTAAAAAATATAGAAATTAGAAAGAGGTGAATTAAGGCTATGTAAGCAATTTCATATCTCCTTAAGATGGATCTCACCTCGTGCACTGGTCCTAATAAGATCAAACACACATCTTCCAAAATTAACATAGCGCAATATTAATTTTGCCTAAAGACCTAAAGCTAGACTGTACTCTTTTTGACCCGATGATGTCGAATATCAAAATATCAAACACAAAACTCGTAAACAATTTGAAAACTATTTTGAAATTATTTCGAGAAGAAATGAGGAAGAAATCAATTTATTGAATTGATTTGGAAGGAAGAAAATAGAATTAGGAAAATCCAGTTTATATATTTCGTCTTACTAATGGTCGCATCTTTTAACAAAAAAATATTTTAACCATAAGATCACACAATTGTAAATTGGAACATGATATAGTGGTGTAGATCACATCCATATCAAAAGGTCATGACTTTTCATTGCGCACATCTTTTAAATAGTCACACCCAATCTAAAAAAACCATAACTCTTTTATATGAATTATTTGCATTCGAAAAGTCACATTGAGATATTGCACCATTTGAGAATTTTCTAATTCACACATTTAATTGTTAACTAACTCGTAAAATCCAACAATCTCTTACATAAATGAAAAAAAGTCGACTTAGAACAAAAATATAAAGAAGAATACTACCAAAAGATAATGCATCATGATATGTAGTTTTTGCTTTGAACCTTCCTTAGTATAATATACCAGACTCACTTGACTAATTAATAAATACAACGTTTTGAACTGTCGACCGCTATTGTAACCCTGACAATATATCAAACACATTATCTCTCACATCAAAATTTGATTTTCTATTGTGTTCGTTATTTCGGCCATGAACCTTCTTGGATTCTACAAGTGCATTAATGAACTCACCTAAGTAAAATTCTCTTAAATCGGCCAAGTTCGCACTCCCATAGAGTAACAATCTGAACAATCTGAAAATATTTACACTTGCAGATTTTCGGGACTGATTTGAATAGAGTAACAGGATAAAATCAGAACAACATGATCAACATAGTCAAAATCGAAACAAATCATGAACATAACAATTAGTAAGAGTTCCAACGAAATCAATGTGGCATTTTTCATATTAAAAAAATAGTATCGGAATGTAGGGAAAGAAGTGAGATTCGATGTAGGAATGTCTGAAATGAAACTGGTGAAATTTTTCTGGCGAAAATGCATGCTATTTATATATTTATTTGTGGCAATTCGAACAATCTACAAACCTCTTCAAAATAGTAGTGACATTTACGACAACCTTTCAAAACAAACATAAATGTATGTTCAGACCAAAACCATGCGTTTGTTATATTCGATTAATAGATATCAATTACATCGGTGATTGGCATTTGTTACGTCGATTACAGATGTCTGGAACATAATCCAGAAAATTTTCCCAGAAACAAAGGTTGGAATGATCCTTAAAAATAATTTCAATAAGTAATCAATAATTTGATTAGTTATAATTTGGTTCAAAAATTTAAATAAATATTGTTCAAAAAGATATTTGTAAGACAATGACTCATACACATCAAACCCGAACCGTGGTGATTTGACTGGAAGGACGATGACGCGTGTATGGATATTGGTTCGAATCCAATAGAATCTAGGTTTCACCCTTCTAAAGACGAGTGGTATCCCTTGGGATCAAATCCAATTATCAAACTTTCACTATATAAACCAAACAATTTTTCCTAAAATTTTCTGTGTGGGATAAGATTTTAGCAATTTCATTCAAATTATCCTTTAAAGTTTCAAGTGTGCAACTTAGAAATCAGATATTTTATTTAATTCTAAACATTTTTTGATAAATAAATATATCATGTTAATCGCTCACAGAGTATAACATGAATATTTTGATCTCGTTAATTTTAAAGTATGTGAAGCCCACAGAAATTTGAGCTTAAAATTGCCCATTTTCACTAAAAAATTAAACCATTTAAAACAAACATGAATTATCCTCATATAATTATCAATATCTCTTCCAAGAATGAAAATTCATATTTTATAGACATTTGAAATCTCGTATACATCTAAAGTTTGAGAATCTTAATAGTCAAATATCGTAATATGTTCATTTTATAACATACTAGCATGTCGTGATGTCTATAGGCTAAACCTTACTGTTCGATTTAATGGGCTAGCAAATTGGAACATTATGAGCAATGTAAATTGAGGAAATTACACAAATTCGGGTGTTTAAAGATTGATTTTCAAAAATCAGGTTTAAAGTTTAATTATTCAAAAATCAGGCAATAATTTTATATTTTAATTAATATAATAATATTATTAAACATAATATTAATAACCCTAATTTTATCAATTCCTTACTTCCTTCCTCTCGTCTCCTCCCTTCTCCATCGTCTTTCTCTCCTTCCCTTTCCCCTTCCTCCCTCGTCTCTCTCACTGTGAGCTGTTCACTGAGTCGCGATGCTGCTTTGAACGCATGACGCTGCCATGCGACACTGTCATTCACGGCATCGCGACGGATGGTGTGTGTGTGTGTGTTGTAGGTGTGTGCGCAGTGGCGAAGTAGAGTTGTGGTGATAGGGTTGCGTCGGGGTGTGGTGGTGGTGTTGATGCTAGTTGTAGTGGTGTTTGACCAGTTGTGGTGCAGATGTGGTGTGTGGTGGGTTCAGATGTGGTTGGTAATGGTGGTGATAATGTGTGGTTAGATGCGATGGTGGTGGTGGGTGTGTGTGCTGTGGGTGCAGTAGTATGGGCAATGTGGTGGCAGCACTGCCGGTGTGTGGTGTTTGACCAATTGTGGAGTAGATGTGGAGTGTGGTGGGTTGGGTTGGTAGGTTCAAATCTAGTTTGATGGAGGTGGTGGTGATGTGGTTGCAGTGTTGTGTTGTTATTGTTGATGGTGGTGGTGGTGGCGGCTGTGGTGACGGGATGATGAGCGTTTGTGACAACTATTTGATTGATTTGTGACCAAGTATTTTGTGGTGAATCATGTTCGGGGTTGATTTTTTGGTGTATGTGACCAACTATTTGATTCTCTGTGACTCGCCATTAAACTGTAACTTTAAATTTTGATAATTTGTGACAAAAATTTTGAAAATATGTGACCAATAGATAAATTGTGACTTATAAAATTTTTGATTTGCGATATCGAAATAATATGTGACCAATAAAATTTGTGACTTATAATTATATATCTGTGACCATTAATTATATATTATTATATTTAATTAATAAATAAATACCTGATTTTTGTATTTTTAAACTTAAATCCTGAATTTTTTCGTTTGTGAAACTTAAAGTCTGATTTATGATTTTTTTTTCCCCATGTAAATTCGTGGATCTCATCAATAAAATAAGCCAAGTATACCCAATTATGACCCTTTATGTAATACAACATATGTATAGTAAATAATAAAATTGTCCTCAACATACTTATATTAAGCTGTCTACTTGTACAGACAATTTTAACACATGCAGTTGCAGAATTCCAACTGACAGCTTTTCATTGGATTCAGTATAAAAAAAAAAAAACTTAAATCGGACAATCAAATTTCGCCAAATCAGCATATGTCAACCCATCTGATAAAAAAAAAAATGTACAAATAGCATTTTTCTAATTTAATTATACTTATTGCATAAATAGTAATAATTATGCCAATCTTAAATGTATTTCTTTATTTATTTCCTTTCAATCCTTTAGTTTATTGTTTTGTTAAGGGCCACTGTATTAGCTGATACAATTAAAATAAAGATCTTTAGTAGATATTAACTCCCTTGCAACGGGGCAATACAAGTACGGGAAGATTAATTAGCCATATTTGGTTTGGCTAAAAATCTGAATTTTAGTAGATTTTGAGAAAAATTAATAAAATGTATGTTTAAAAAATTGATAAAATTTGTGAATCTCCTAAAATGTTTGTTAATTTTAACTTAATTTTTTATAATTTTTTTCAGCTAAACCAAATATAAACTTATTTGTAAATCAAAAATTCAAACAATATAACTTCTCCCACCAACCCAACTTCATACCATCCATCGGCTCAAATCCATTGGCTGATTTTAACATCTTTCACTTTTCAGATTCAACTACTTCAGTTCCAGATTAATAGCATTAGATATATATATATAATATATTACGAAAGCATACAAAGTCATGTTGAAAACATACGTGCTCCTGCAGTACATGACACGAATGACTAGAACCTGTTATTGAGGAACCCTATTTGTTTGAGAAGAGGACTCAAAGTTTCCATTATCTTCTCGCACGGATGGTTGTGGATTCCCTCGTACGTTGTCACAACAATGCTTGTGTCCTTGGTTAGCCTTTGAACTTGTTTCTTCACGTTGCACGTGTGATGTGTGCATCGATAGTAACTCCTTTGCATGCAAAATGACGCAGGAAATAATCAAAATGTTGATCAATTATCCAAAACATATATAATTTATGGAGATAAAACAACAAATTACGCACGAAAAAGTGATTATCGATCGAAAAGGGTACGTGTGTATTTTCCTCTACGACGTATTTTTGTGTATACATAAGTTCACACGTGTCTATTTCCATGTACCAACACAAATATGAATTTACATGTGACATTGCATTAATATTAAACCTTAATTACAATATCAAAACTATCCTAAACAAGTTATATTATATTGTCAATACACACACCATGATTTAAGATCATTTGTGGATTTTATTATTTTTTATTTTTATTTTTTTGGAGGGGGGGGGTTCATCACATGCTCCTCTAGATATAAGGGTTTGAGGAATTTCTAGGATTATATTATTTTCATTCAGTAATTTTAAATTTGGAAAAAGGGTCTTGTTATTAATACAGATTAAGCCCATGTTTGGGCTCCATTAAAATTTCAATTAATTTTTCATTTTCTTCTTATCAATCACATATTTTTCAATAAAATAATATTACATGTAAATTCAAAATTTTCTTCTTCTTTTTTTAAATATACATTTTTCAAAGAATTACTATTTCAAAATAATTTTTTTAAAAAAAATCCAAAATCTCATTACAATGAATCCCAAACAAGGGTTAAATGTTTTCCATGAGGAAAAACAAATAAACATTTTATCCTTTAGACTTTTGTATTTATACTATTAATCTAAAGGACCTTGCAACGTGCATATCGAGATTTATATAATAAATTACATAATGTCGTGTGACACTCCACTATTTGTCAGTTTAAAATATAATCAACTTTTTCATCAAATTTTTTCCCTCTACTTAATTAATATTATGTAATCTATTATGTACAAGTAGCAAAATCCTAATCTAAAATATGTAGTTGTTTTATTTGTTAATTTATTGTTAAAAAGTAAGTTGTTCTCTCTTGTATGTGTGCAAAACATATATAAAAGAAATAAATCATCTCTCTTAAACTTATTTGAACATTACTGAAAAATTATATTGATTGCTATTTTAGCTAAAAAAAAAAAGCTCTCATCTAAATAAAAAATGTGGAAGAATAAAAGTTTCCCTGTTTGGTACCGATTAAAATCTAGATTTCAATTTAAGTAAAAGTCAACAATTTATTTCAACCACATATTTTATGGATCCCACAACTTTTATCAACTTCTATTAAAATCTACTGAAAATTTGATTTTAATCTCACTAAAGAGGGGCTTTGTAATAGTTTCAAATATACAATAAAAACAAAATGTTATGTTATAATCCAAAACTCATATCTGCTTTTGGAAAGAGGTAAAAAAACGGGGAATATATTTTTGTAATTTTTAAAAAGGAAAATTATACGTAATATTTTTTAAAAAAAAGGCCATGCAAAGCTAAAAAATCGATGAATAACCTGGGAAAGTTGCTATTTTTGACAGATTTTTGGCCGTATTTTCTCCAACGATAGCCATCGTCAAGAATATCTTCTTCACTCCTGGTTTGAAAGGCAAATCTTGGAATGGTGGATTTTCTATTTCGACCACCTCTTCTTTTATCCTTAATATTTTCGCTCTTATCTTCATAATCAAATTTGGCGACATTTTCAGATGTTTCAGCAGCATTTTGTTCAAAGCTATGATTATGATTATAATTACGAGACATTAAGCTTTCCAAATTCGTATTTGGCAGAAGGGTTGTTGGAATAGAAGACGTGAAGAGACAAGTAGGGTTGGTGGGCGGCGGTGGCAGTAGTGGCGGTGGAAGTGGTGGTGAGGCTTCTTGTTCTTCCATATTGAAGGGCTCCTCCAAAATATTCTAGAGGGCGAATATGGAAGTCTTTGGGATGTATTTATACAGTTCAAAAAAGGCGCGGTACGCTCACCAACACACACACACATTGTGTACGAGAGAGAGTTGGCATAGGATTGAAGAAGAAGAGTGTTGTTCCATCTGTTTTCAATGCAGTAAACTCAGGCCAACTAAAATTCAACTAATTCAGTTCAACTGCCCCACAAAACGTAGATAAATACGTCAAAACGTGCATGCCCTTGTTAGCTCTCGTTATTTACAATGCACTTTTATCTATACATACATACATACATACATACATACATACATACATGTATGTAAGTGTATTTTATAATATTGAGTTAAATCACCAATTCTTTGGTCATCATCAAAATATGGGTAAATTGCAATTGGGGTTTTCAAACCTTTCACTTAGTTACAAATCGTACCCAAACCTTTAATCTGTTGCACCCACAATTCCAAACTTTTCATTTCGTCTCGCTTGGAGGAAAATGGATGAAATCCGTCAATTCTTCCATTATTGACCAAGAGAAAATTTTGACTCATTCTGATCAATTGAGTGAAGGGTAAAATGGTCAATTCACTATTCCCACTTTTAAAATCAGAAGCCTTTACATATCCCACAAGTTGAACCGGAAGTAGCAATGTATACCATTCTCTTCCACGATGGATTAACCCAAAAATTTTGCATTTGCGGTTTGACTATGTTTTCTCTATTTAATCTGACAGTTATACGATGTGCTAGAGTCACTTATGATTTTTAATGTGATTCTACATATTTTGATCATAGTTACACCATGATGGAATATTATATGCAAAAGATGCGAAATTTTGTGTAAGACCATAGTAAGATAAGCTATCTAGACTACGTGGACCCCGATTTTTTTTAATAGATTTTGACTGAACAATGCTATGAAGATGTTGGGATAATTTGAGCAAATAAGGTATCTTTATTGGCTTGAGAAGAAGTTGAGTGAGGCATCCTCTTTATTAGTAGCTGATGCTGATTTTATGAATTTGGTTAAGTTACTTGGTGAAAAAATAGTTGTTGATCTGTATTATTTGCCTGTAGTAGAAGTTTTGGAATTGTCATGGGATGATACATTACCTTCTAAAATTTCTGTTATTTATCTTGAAACTGGTGAGAGTTTGGAGAGTGTGAATCAGACAGGTGAACCAATCAAGAGTAAGAAACTTCATCAAAATAAAATAGATCAAAAAGCATACTATGTTGTGGAGGTATTTGATGACACATTGAAAGGTAATGACATATATATTATTGATGAACCTGAGATGGAACATGATGAAATAGATGTTAATGCTCGAGGGAGATGTTGAGGATGAGAATTTGGGTGTAATTGAAATAGAGGTGGAGGTGCAGATGATGGAGGAATAGCAAATAGATGTTGAGGTGTATATGATGGAGGACTAGGAAAACAAAAATTCAGGTGCAGATGATGGAGGAATAGAGAACAGAGGTTGAGGTGCAGCAAACAGATACTGTCAATAATAAACAAATTTTAGTAATTAATAAGCAAATTTTTAAAAATAGGATCGGCTAAGCAAGGCCTACGAAATGAAGGTCCTCACAGACTGGGAGTCAGTGATGAACTATCTTCACCAACTGTAACTGTGAGGATTGTTCCTTACAGTCAATGAAGAGTTGATGAACGACACATAGCCAAAATTTAAACTCAATCTATAGAACCCGACAATATTTTGAACAAAATATTCACAATTTAAACGAACTAAAGAAAGAAAAATAACAACAAATTTGAAAAAAGTTAGATTGATCGGATATCAACATTGAAATGGAAATTCTTGCACTTATTTTAAGATTAATCTGATGCCAACGGAGAGTTCACCCACAATCTTTGTGTTACTGAGGTTTTATACAAGGGAATGCTTTGTTGGGTAATATTGCAATGAAAATTAACGGGTCAAAGGCCATTTGAGTAAATTGATCGGGTCACCTTATATTTGCCAATAATTCCCCAAAAATATGATCATCCGCCTTCTTCTGTTAATTCTGTCTATAACTCAAATTTCATCTCCAATGGCCAAATAAATAAGATTAAAAAATAAATAACATTTTTTCATCAATAACCCTATTTTACTATCAACGTAACTTCTAAATAAGAAAAATATAAAGCATCCAAACAAAATTTACTTTACTCGCTTTTAAGCTTAGCTAACCGTGCTCTTGGTCGATTATGAGAAGAAATGAGAAAGAAGAAAAATAGATGCCTTTAATCTCTTTGCAGTAAAACTAGTACACAAACTAGTATTCATTAGATCAAGCTATCTGGTGGGCATTACCAGCCGCAACAAATATATTATGACCAAAACTGTACACAAATTAAAGATTTTCAAGAAAATGTGAACACGAGAACACTACAGGGAGGTTTCAGAAAGGAGAGGAGGAAAAATTCACTACTTCTCATCAAATGCTCTCTAATAGGACCTGGCAAATAAATGCAGCCACTCACAACCTAATTATCCTATAGTCAACTTCGAATAATTTCTTTAAAGAGTTGAAATACATCCCATTCACAGGATACAATATGGTGCTTTGGGAAACACGGGCAGATCCAATGAGCCAACAACAAATTTTCATGAAATTTATTCCCTGCGTCTAAATAGTAGAAAGGACATGAAATATCAGCTGATGATCATTTGGTTCAGGAATTCGGCTTGCTCAGGGAAATGCTCCAACAGCTCATCTTTTGTGACCCAGACAAAATCTTCACACTTTTTAACATTAAACTTGTTGGTAGCGATCACTTGAGACTTGAAAAAGAAGCGCTGACAAAAGTTGCAAGAAAACAAGAGAGTTAAGTATACAAAAATCCATGGTGGGATTTTATGGCTGGGAAATCTTCTCTTTGGTGCATTCACACGGTGAACGTTGTCTGAAGAAACAATACATATATTCATATAGTTAGAGCCAACCAGAAGGTTTAAGATGTTTACCTTGAAAGAATTAATGCCCCGGTCAGCTTCCGCAGGCTGTATAGCCATATGGCCCATTGGAGCATTGCCAACAAAATAAGTGTGAGAAAGATCTCCAATCACAGATTCTAATGCAGACTCTGCACACTGCAAATATATGAGAATAATTTCCTCACTCTAATAATTTAGAATCAATAAACTTCAAAAGGAAAAACTGAAAAAACTTGCGGAAAATAAAAAAAAAAAGTGAAAAGTAAGAACCACCTCGCGCAGAGTATTTTCGGATGCATAAACTTTCTCTGGGAAATGCCAGACACTTTCGCCATTTGGAGAACCAAATGTTGGGCCATAAAGGAGAAGATACAACCTTCGGTCTAGTGCTCTTTGTAATGACCTATGAGGCAATATATGCACTAACACAGGTGAGTTTGCATAGAGAAAAGCTAAAAATACTACTGCAGTTGCATGAGAGAACTGAATCAGATTAAAGAGAGGCGATACCAATCAGATCATTTGATGCACATACAGCTACTTTGGCAGAGCATATGGAGCGAAAATAAAAGTACTTTGAGGATTACCTCTCAATTTTTATTTATCCTCGAGGAAGGAGCTGGCTACTTTTAGTATAGATTATAATAGGAGGTAAACAGTTGAAGCGCAATAGGTTTTTCTCTTTTTTATGCTTTTGTCGACAGGAAATAAATATATATGTACTGGTGAAAACTGAGATAAGCATTCATACTGCTAGAAATGGTATTGGTATGTGACTAAGAACCAGATAAAATAGTCGCAGAGAGAGTTCAACTATCCAAAAATAGAGGGAAAGGTCTAAACTATGTCCTCAAAACAAATAAAGGGCATCCTCAACACTCAATGATAAGAAAGAGAGATTGGTAATTCATTCCTATGTAAATTAACCTTTATTACATTTTACATCACATAAATACAATATATTACCTTTTATTGTTAGATTTGTCTGCCTCAGTGATCCGTGAAGCTGGTTCAAACTCAATTTGATAATCACCTTTTCCCCTGGAAATTTATATGACCATTACATAGTAAATACTAAAGAACACGTCTTAATCAACAATATAAACATTTAAAAGAAAGATAATCCTGCATGCATGGTTCTGTTGCTATCCCATTTGTCAATAGCCACATTCGCAGTAAATAAATAAATGTGAATGCATAAAAACAAAAAGCACGATGCTTCTATATTTGCCTATTTGAGATGTATGATCTTGTGAGTAAGAGTATGAGAGAGAATTGGGCATCACCATCAAAAGTCCAATCAAATGCAGAGTTATTGCTGATGTCCGTCCTTAACAAAGAGAAATACACAGAACTTCTCTTAAAAGGAGAACAGTGAACATATGAACCGCACTATCAACCATCATTTCTAAAGTGCATTTGCTAATAGAGAACTAGTAACCACAGGCTCTTTGTAAAATCAGAAATATGTCAATGAAAAGAAGAAGAAAAGAAAAATTTACTACCTGGAATCAGATTTTTTCAAGAAAGCTTCTGGGTATTCCCGCCGATATTGCTGCCTCCATCGAAACCTAAACGTGCATCCCAACCATCAAAAGAAAAATTCCAAACAAATACATAAGTTCATCCAGACCAGCGGTAAGCAACAACAAGAAATGGCATATGTTATGGAACATATTCATACATTCTGACGCTCTTATTTAAGTAAATATAAGGGAAAACTATTTATTTTCACATCTCTAATCCTAACAAACAGAAAAAATACGCAAGGATTCCTATATTCATATTCATAGTTTGTGTAAACCACTATCAGTTCACTATTAAAATTTCTATCATGCTTCCTCAACTCTTTTTCCCAATAATAAGTGCTTGTTTGGCTACACTCAACAAGTCTACTTATAAGTAAATAAGTAAGTTTTACTATTGGTGAAGGTTGAAAATAAGTTGCCTTTTTAAGATATACTTTCAGTGAAAGTACTTTTTTAACATAAGAGTACGAAAAATTTAAGTTCTCTAAACTTGTTTAGAAACAAAAGGTTTATTTTTATTTTTTCTACTGGAGAACTTTTCAACATAGTTGTAACTATGAATACGTAAAGTTCAGATGGTATCGTATACTAAAATCTGTAATCTAAAGGTTGTCACAGCTACATCAGAAAATTATTCTTCAGATTTTAACTCAAGACAGTCAAACATGCTGTCAAAACCCATTTCCTCCTTGTTTACCATAGAAAACAAAGGAGAAACAAAATGGAATAAGATCACAAACAAAAGCTGGTTCACTTTCACCATTTCTACAATTTGCATTGTGTAATCCGAAATGGAAAACAATTAAACAGAAATGTATGAACGCAGAAAAAATGCCTACGAGAACTCTTGAAAAGCATATACAGAAGGGTCAATTTTGGGGATGACAACTGGGAGTCTCTCAAACACTACTGAAGCTACAATCTTATCATTGCTATTCTTCGATGTTGAAGTGCAAAACCCTCGCTCTGCTACCAGAGACTGAGCCAGCCTCACATACGACCATGTTCTTCGCATTTTCTACAACCTAACCACCAAAATAGAGAGGAAGTTCAGATTGCTGTAAATTATTATACACATATTCAAGCTATAATCAGTTGTACGTGGAAGAGGATTTGTTAAACCCTAATAGAACCATGCGAACAAAGAAGAGAGTGAAAAAGGAGGGGGTTTACCTGCAATTGGTAACGACAATTGAATGGGTTGGGATATATGTTAGCTATAGTCTGAATAGGAATGGGAAAGGCCAGTCTTAGTTGCCCCTCTCTTCAATAATTTACTGTCACAATAATGTTACGAAGTTTTAACTCCTGCATTTTGATGAAGATGGTTGGAAATGTTGAATAATTAATACATAATTCCAACTCCTGCAGGCCGTAATGTTATCTGTATATAAGCCATACTGATTGGAATTCTTCATTTAAACCAAGAGCAGAGATTGATTCAATTAATACTTCAACCTTTCTAAACCCTTTTAGACAAAGCATAGATCAAACAAATGTGCAGATATACTTGAAGAATTCAAAGCCCAAGAATGAACCCTATAAAATATAGATTATTGAATAAAATAAAACACATTATCAAACTCCATTTATGAACTGCCCTTTCAATTGTAAAAGCAAATATAACAAATAACAATCAAAAGTATCAAAGTAAAATGTAATAAATCTACAAAGTTAGGATTTGAATAAGAATTTCAGACACTTCACTCTCAAATTTGCACCTTCTTCCTGGGTCATAAGAAATTTATATACCTGGGTAGATGAAAAATTGAAAATTTCGGCAGTTGCTGGTTCTAGCGTATTCGCCTACTGCAGCATCGGCATTTGGGCCGTGTTTTTTCAATTGGGCTAAATATCGCTAGACAATATATATAGGTGGGCTAGACAAAATGTTTTTGGGTCCATGGCTATATCCAGCAAAGAGTTTTGGAAGTCCAGATAAAAATCTTTATTTCCAAAATTCATTATTACAATCTTCACGAGTCATAACTCTGATAAGAAAAATATCTTTGTACCATCGAAAATCATGAAGTTTGGGACATGAAATATTCATCAATATCTCAGTTGATCTATCTTGAATAAGTTGAAGAGTTGCCAATAAAACGTTTGATGATTGAATAGACAAAGAGTATTGAAACAATCAGTGACTGTTTCACCATTTTCAATTTTAATAGCTAGAAAATTTTCATTTCTATTTTCTTCATTTAAATAATTAGTCCACCATCCTTTGAGTT